CTGCTTTGACCTGTGATCTGCAAAGACCATGGACATCTTCTCTTTGCTTCTCACTGATTTATCCCAGGGAAACAGCAGCTTTTTGTAAAACATTAGGGGGTCACTTCCTTATAATCATATTCTCCCTAAGCAATGGAAAGCCTATTTCTTCTGTATTATAAGCTTTCTGTAGTGGAGTAAACAATCTATCAGTGTCCCCCATCCTGAAAGAGTCCTCTAGCCAAGTCCACAGCCTTGTAAGGCTTTTAACTTGGAGGGTATCTTAGAAGTCACTTGGTCTAAATCCAATATTAAAATTAAAGTGGCTCATAAAACAAGAGTATTTGGAAACTGATTTTTTGAAACTGTCATTGGAACAGATCTTGAGTCACATGTGTGTTTGAGAGACACTCTCTCTAGTCTCATGACCCAGATGACACAAGATGACAAGGCATCTGGGAAGTCTATTTGTTTCTGATGTATCTGTGGGTGACAGAGTGGGTTAATTCTGATGACTCTGGGGTGCTCTTCCTTCCTCCTCTCTGGAAAGGTGAGGGCCAGCCATTGCCTGGTTTTGAGAAGGTCCCTCACGTGAGGATCACAGACTGTTAGGGTTTCTTTCTTATTTTAGTGGCACATTTTTTCCTAACCACTGGTGTGATCCTGACACAGAAGTGTATTTCTATTCTGAGCTCAGAAAAATGGTGTGGAAGAAACAAAAAACTCCAGACCTCTATGAGTAAGGTCAGTGCATGGCTTTTAGGAACACATCTGGAATTTCCTCTGTCTTTTGTCCCTACATGTTCACTGCCCTCAGGAAGATTTCACTGGTCCGTGGGAAGGCAGTCCTCACACTTCTGTTGACTTTAGGATACTGTAGCTCAAGCCAGCTTTCAAAGTCAGCCCTCCCAGGCCCTCACTAACCCAGCTAAGGACCCATCCATAGACTGATCTCCCTGTTAGGCACCCTGTTCATCCATCTCCTTCTCCCCTTTTCCAGATCCCAGTGCCTGGCACAGAATCATAGGCCATGAAGCTCCCAAACCGAGCTGAGTGCTTTAGCTCTGCTCATGCTGTGGCCCTTTGCTGTTTCATATGTAGTTTCTCCCAAACTTCTATTTCTTGCCTTCCCCTCTATGGACATTTCTTCCACCGCACCCCATCTGTGCTGCTGCTCAAAGGGGTCATCAGAAACTGCTTGTTGACGAGCCATTGGGACAGGATGTGTCATGGAAGTTCTGGGACACATGACCCTAAGGACTGGTGAGTAGCACAAGTTATTTCCCTTAATAGTGGGTGTCTATTAAGAAGCCAGTCACCTCTACTGCCCACTGTATCTGCCAGAGGGGGGTGCCACAGCTTGCCTTGGGTTTTATTCTCCTTGATTTCCTAATGAGGCTCATGCAGCTGTTAACTACCTTCTTCCTAGAAAACTCTCTTCACTTGTTTTGGAGTGATTAGAACATCAAATGGCCCTCAACCCTAATTCACTTCATTCCCCATGCTTAAAACACAGGTGTGTCCCCAGATCTGACTTCAGCCCAGTTCCTCTGCATTATGAGCCCCTCCTTTCTGATCTCGAGGACTCCTCCTGCCCAGTGAATGATTCTGGGCAAGTAACTCCCAGATCTTTATCCCGCAACCAATTTAACTACAGAGTTTGAGTCTCTTATTTCAACTGTCTACTGAATTGCCTCCCCTGGATAATCCTCCCCATCTTTCAAATACAGCAAATTAAGAATGAACCAACAATCTTGTCTCCCAAACAACCCTTCTTCCTAACTTTCCTATGAATATCTGTTAAAGACAACCTAGCACTAACATTGACATAAAATCTGAACCTGAGTCATCTTTCATTCCTCTGTCTCTCTCAATCCTGCAGCTAAGGAATCAGAAGCTATTACCAAGCATTCACTAAACATCTTTATGCCAGACTCTAGAGATGCAGTATGCAAAACATAAAGGAGATGGGAACCAGAGAGACGGAGAGAAAGCGGAGGGACAAACTCTTGGCCCTGATGAGTGGCCATCTTGCAAGCAGTCGAATGTGTACAGCATGGGCATCCAACCTTTTGGCTTGCTTGGACCATACTGAGCACCATGTAGAAAATATATAATATAGCTAATGTATATAATAACAACACTTCCTTTGTTTTTAATTTTTTTCTTTATATATATATGTATATATATATATATATATATATTTTTTTTTTTTTTTTTTTTTGTCTTTTTCGGTTTTATCGGTACCAGGGATTGAACTCATGACTGCCTGCTTGCAAGACAGGCACTTATGTCGCTGAGCTAAATCCCCAGCCCCTATTTTTAAATTTTTTTATTATGACACAGGTAAGTTCAACCTTCGAGCCAGATGTTAGACAAGGCTATGGGAAAAGAAACAATTTACAAGTTATTTTGAAAACCTAAGTGTGAACAGTGCTGGGAAGAACACTGTATACTACACTGAGAACTTAGGGAGAGAACAGAAAAATTATTTATTCATTTGATGATGATTTATTGACAACTCAGCAAAGTTCAAGCACTGTTCTGGGGTTCAAAGACTTCTGATGCCACCTGTGTGTGCCTTGAGGTTGGTGCAGCACTGTTCAGGTCCCTGCTGCCCATTTTCCCAAAGTCTCCTAAGAGAGCTTCTGCCCTCTGCGTCTATTGTGTAGAACGGGCTGTCTGAAAACATCCTGGTTTAGAAACCCTTGATGGCCATGTGATTGCGTGGATACCGACACAACTCAGCAGTTAGGGATTTGGAATCTCACCCGGGCCCTGACCTCCCACCTTCGCTCCTGGTTCTCCCTCCAGTTCCTTTTCATGGTACCTGTCTTCCCATCTAAGAATCATGCTGAGTCCACCCACCGCTCCAATGCACTGATGGCAAAGTGACCGTCCCCTTACAGAGGCCCAGAGAAACTTATTAAATACATGTCGTCAGAAATGGTTTTCCAGTAGTTTAGTATGCATTCATTCTTTCTTTCTAATAGGACTGCACTTTTTTTTCTTTTTTGTACCAAGAATCAATCTCAGGGCCTCGTACTCGCCAGGCAGGCACTGTGCCACTGAGCCACATCCCTGGCCGTGGGATTATACTTTGAGGGGCAGGACAATATTTCCTTCTTTTCCCTTTCCCTTTGTTTTCTCCACTATTCTTAGTATAGAGCTATACAAAGAAGAGTATGAATGTTGACAGAATAAAAACATAAAAATTATGCTTTTTAATAGGAAATTACAACATTGAATTAAAATTCAGAGCCCTATTCTTCAGTTTAGACTCATGCATGTTTTGATATCAAGAAAGAACTTCAGTTAGAATATTATTTCATAAAATTGTTCAGTTTGCCTTTTATGTTTCTTAAGTAACGCTTGCTGCTCTCTAATAAATTTATCACCTTTTATGTGCTTACTTTTGTCTCTATTTCATGTTAATGTTCTTATTAGCCCTTAAAAGGACTTGAATATCCTTATATTTATTACCTGTGAAGATAATTTTCTTGCTACTTTAAAATAGTTCTCTTATTTCTTTAGTTTTCTCATCTTATTGCCTTGGCCAGAACGTCCAGGTCAATATGTATTTTTTAAAAGAGGAAGAAGGGACTCTTGGTGGCGCACGCCTGTAATCCCAGCACTCAGGAGGCTGATGCAGGAGGATCATTGTGAGTTCGAGACCAGCATGGGCTACAAGGTGAGCTCAAGGCCAGTCTGAACTGCATGGAGAGATCCTGTCTCAAAAAAAAAAGAAGACTCTTGCCTTTAATTTTTTTCTTATTAGTGTTTAACATGATAGTTACTGGTATAAAATATATACTTGTAAGATGTATTTGCCCATTCTAAATCAATATACGTCTTAGTTACCTCTCTCATTACTGGGGCTCGATACTTGACACCCACCCATTTAAATGAGAGGCTCCAAGGCAGGGCATGGCAGAGAAAAGCTGCCCATGGCATCTGACCGGAAGCCAAAGCAAGGGAAGAGCAGAGGACCCAGATAAACTCCTCCAGGCCACACCCCCAGGGAGCCTGCCTCCTAACAGCAAGCCAGCTATTGAGCCCACAATCTAATCACCTTTCAAAGCCACACCTACAATTGCAGGAGGCTTTGGAAGGACCCCTAGATATAAACTACAATGGTGTATTTAATCTTTTCTTTTTATATTACATTTTTATGGATACCCTTACAGGGTTGTTTCTTAGGCTGAGTTACAAATTTACTTGAAGTGGATTATTTGACAAATTTAGCAACTGTTCAATTACAGAGTGCCAAGCCACACAATTTAAACACTAAGTTATTTGCCCTAACTTTGTTAATTATGGAGATCCTGCACCACTTAGGCTTAAATTCACAGGGACAAAGGTGACAAAATATGAAACCGTCCATCAATTCTTCTACCTTTTTACTCATTCATCATTCCAAAAAACATTTACTGAGGGCTGCTACGGGCCAGGCACGATTCCAGTGCTGGGCTACAGGAACAAGCATACAAAGTTTTCATGAGAGGGCAAATAAGTCAGTCAATGAGTGTGCAAGATATTTTCACCTATTCCTAAGTGCTGGGAAGATAAAAAAAAAATAAGACATATTGGAAAGTAACTGGTGGAGATGGGATATTTCAACCAAGATGGTCTGGAATCTTCTTTGAGGAGAGATATTGGAACAACAGTGAAAGTGTCAAGAAGAGATCAGCTAGGTAAGGATGACAGAGAAATCACAGCAGAGGGAACATCCAAGCAAAGGCACGGAAGTGAAAAGAGCCGGGGACATTCCTTGAACCACGAGGATGCCGAGGAGCAGGACATGGAAAGAGGACCGTCAGATATGAGCTTAGAGGTCTAAGAGCACTTGAAGAGGGTGAGAAACGTGGATGACAGGTACTCAGGAAAATCTTCAGCTGTTAAAGATGGGGTCACATTACAGTTGCAAAGATAAAATACACTTAGAATATTTGCAATGAAAATTGTAAACATTTACAGAGTAAACTCTACATTAGACAGGAAATAAGCCTGCATTAGGCAAATAAGCTCTCTCCTTCACTTTATTCCACATTAACATTCCCATTTACTGAAAGATGTTGGAAAGATAACATGCTTTGCCGGGAGGATCTTACACAACAGATCGTAAAGCAAGATCTCTTTCATAGTTTAGTTCAGGGAGATGTTATCAGTGCGGTCAGTTAGCCATCGACTTCCCAGAGCTGAAGAATCACACTCTCTCTACTAGTTGGCAACCTTCATGGTGAACTAAAAAAAAAAAAAAAACAAAAACCGCAGACTTAGTTCCTTTCTTTGTGCTTTCATTGGGAGAGCAGAACCAGCCAATGAGACACTTCTGGCCCCCACTGAAGTTATCTAAAAATAACGTATGTATCAAATGAGTTTGGGTGACTCAGGGTGGTCACTCTCCCTGTCTTGATTTAGACTGTGGGGGTATTTTTGGCTTTCATAATCAGTTGGTTGTTGTGGTCTCAAGCCAGGCTTAGCACACTGGTCAATGCCATGCTTTGTCACGGCACAGAAGTGTGTGGCAAAACCCCTGACGAGGTCTGTCCCTTTGTGAAAGTAGGATCGAATCCCAGTGTAGTCAGTCCCTGCTGCGATGGCCTCCAAAGGGCTGTGCCAGCCCTTGTCAGACTCAGATTCACACAGTGACCGTGTTTGTGGCGAGGTCAACTAACTCACCCGTGAAGTCTTTGGGGCTGTGATGGTTTTCATGGTGAGGTAAACCAGGAAAGAGTGGGGGCAGATTCTCTGCTGCAGATTCTCATGGACTTGTCCCTCCTCAGGGCCTCGAAGCACTCCCATGGGACCTGGATGGAGAGGAACCCCTCAATAAAAGTCACCTGCTTAGTTTTGTATTCTCCCCTCATCTCACCCGCCTAAAGATTCTTTAGGAGTCTCTAGACCCGCCTAAGAGCAGTCTCCATAGGATAACGCCAGGCCGTTTTCACTGGTCTCCAGGAACAGGAGAAAAAGTAAGTGTTACCACTCTAGCAGGTGAAGCAGATAAAGGTGTCATCTATCACTCCCTGCGCCTTTATTCTGACATGTTTTGCACTTCTCTTCAAGCTGACATGCCCTTACTTTTAGTATAAAGTAACGGCAGCATGTGACTAACAATAAATGTCCTTACTTGGCAAAGTTAAAGGGTGGTGTCTCAATGCCACCAATCTCTGCAATTATTTGACATTTTTATTAAGCTCTGAACCTTACATTTGGAAACGTCTGGCCTGGATATTCATAGCTTAGTCATCTAACCTTTCTGATTCCTACAGCAAAAGGGATGGGTACATTATGCTGATTTTGTAGCTTCTTCCCCAGCTGCTATAGATCCTTTTGTGTGGGATCTTACACTGAAATCTAGAGACCTGTGAGAGAGGGAAGGAGTAAAGAAGCAGAAATAAATAGTGGCTATTAATATTAATGTCTTTAATATTTATATTAGTATTATAGGGGGGTAGAAAATACAGATTGATAAAACTCATGCATTTAAAAGGTGATAAACATGGAGAATTTTCCCAGAGAGCACACTGATTTGTGAATGATTTTACAATATGAATATATTTTAAATATTAAATTCTTTGCAGGCATAACTTTTTATTTAAGCAACCCTTTTAAGAAATGTGTAATACCATTGGACAAGTAGAGTTACCATAATTAAATCAGTCTAAACCACTGCTTAGATTGTGCTTCATGATACAGATTATAAACAAGAATGTCCAATCACTCAGTGGCTATTTTTGTCCTAAGAGATGTCCTGGCTATAGTACTGGACCCAAGATGCAGGGTTTCTCCTCAGTTAAGCCACGGACCTGCTCCCCCTTGTTGGGAAATTGTTTAAGCTGCCTTTGTTTCCTGTTTATAAGTTTGAGATGATAATATTTACGTTGAGTAGCCCATCATCAAGAGTGTGAACGAAAGAAGTCCTTAAGAGCCACAAATGGCGTTGAATGCCAGAGAGGTAATTACCTGTGGTTTGGAAGGTCATAAAATGCCTGCAGTATGTCTACAATAAATAATAGTGAGAGGAAAGGGTGAAAACTTGGATTAATATGTTTACGATGATATGAACAACAGCTCCCACATGGCTCACTAGGTGCGAGGCACTTTATAAACACTGTCTGAGTATCTCTCTGGAAGACAGCATTACTGTCTTGACTTGAGCTCAGCAAGCCGGGGCTTTGTGAGAGGGTTCCTCACCTCAGGAGCCCAGGGCCGTCCTGCTGTCCCCCTGAGGGGGGGGTCCTGCCTCCCTGGCAATCCTAGCAATCCTGTGCCACCCACCAACCCGGGCTACAGTGTCTGCTCCCTGCCAGCTCCTAATATGGCAGTGTTTTCCTTTTTATCCTTGTAGAGTATTCTTAATTTCCTTTTGTCTTTGTCGTTTGACTTTCATTTCCTGCTGGGACTTCCTTCTTTTATCACCCTAAGCCTTCACCTCTGCTCAGCCTCCACTCTCCTCCTGGCGGATTTAACCAGGCTCGGGTTTGAAACCTTTCCCTCGTGTTTCAGTTCCTTACTTGGTCTGCACCTCGCAAGTACCATTTCATTATGCCCATCTCCTTCTGTCACCAAAGGGTTCCTATTTGGCCCATAGTTTTTTGCTATATCCATACTTATCTAAAAGGGATTTTCTTCAGAGCCCTCTAGATTGGATTTTGAGATAGCTTGGACCCCGGAATAAAATCCAAGGAAGCAAGAAATTAAGAAAATTCAGAGCAAAGGCTTTATTCCAGGCCTGGCAACGCAGCCCCCTTTGGATCAAACCAGAGACTGTGCGCCTAACAGACTAAGGGAGGGATATTTAAAGCTAAAAAACCTGCAAAGCTATAAAACTGTTGACTTAGTTGACTTAGTTCTGATAACATCTGGAGCTCTTGGTGCATTCGCTACTCCCACCCTGTGGTTAAACATCTCAGAATAGCACACCTGCAATAACATGCGGAAAGAGGGTAGGGGAGTTAATTGTCTCTGAACAGCTCACTAGCAATAACATGTGAAAAGGGGTAGGGAGTTACAAGAAGCTGAAACTTAAGCTTTTGCAAGGATTAGAAACTTAACCCTATCGAGATGGCGCATGTAGAACAAGATGGAGGCGCATTGGTTAGAGTTAAGCCGTAACAGATTTCAAAAAGAATTTTCTAGCTGGGCATGGTGACATCTGTAGTCCCAGCACTTGGGAGGCTGAGGCAGGAGGTTAGCCACGAGTTTGAAGTCAAAATGAACTACATGGCAAGACTCTGTCTCAAGAACAAACAAAAAGAATTTCCTAATTTAAATGCTACACAAAAATAGCACATTTTATTGAAAAGGATTCTAGTGCCTACAGAGGGGTTTTTTTTTACTAAAGGAAAGAGAAACAAAAATAAAGAGAGATACTTTTAATTATTTTTACGATTTCAATACACAGAATTAGTAGAACTCAGAAATCATCATCACGACACTGGATATTGTGTTAATTAGTTAAAATAGAATAAGGCCATTTTGGCCTTATTATTAGGAATCCAGCTTCTAAGTGGCTCCATGCAGTGGTCGTGACAACAATGTTAAGAAAACCACCCATGAAGAGCAGGAAGGAGACCTGGGCCTCTTTCCCCAGTCAGGTCTTCAGTGGCTGCTGGCCAGTTAACTCTCTCCTTACTGATGGATGCACTGAAAGGGTTGGCAGACACCCTCTAAACTGCTCATGCTTTACAATTTACTGAGCAACACACTCCTTTCCTTTCCTGTACAAATCTAGAAAACTCCCACTACTAGAAGATGACTCAGGGTGCAGAGCTCCATCAGTGCCTCTGCCTTCCCAAGTCACATCTCAGTAACTAATGCTTCATGATTCCCCACCCACATGCAGATGGGCTATTTTCTAGAGAGTGGTAAAATTTCGTAGCACTGTCTCTTTAAGAACTATGATTTTTTTACCTGGGTTAAATAGAGGCTACCAGAACTACATTTACAGAAGGAAAAGCCTCTGGCGACCTTTGCTGGTAAGTAGCAGTTTCACTGCTTAACTCGAAATATTAGAGCCAAAAGCCTGCTTGTCTTTGAAAGCACCCCTAACTCCAAAACAGAACTTCTGCGGATGGAAAGATTATACAGATGTTACACAAATGTTCAGAAGAGACTGACTACCCTGGGAGAGAGTCCCTGATTCCAGGATCCACAGAAACAGTACCATTTTCTAAAGGGTGTGACTGAGAGTCCCCAGTAGCTTGTATTTCCAGGTGACAGAATCATCACGGGATTCCAGGCTGGAGGAAGCTTGCTGAACGTGTACCTGACCCTTGTGCTAGGGCCCAGCGTGACTCTTCCAACCTAGACTGAGTCGAGTTCTTTCGGTTAAGCACAGCACTCGATTTGAACAGTCTCTGAGACAGGAGTTCACCACCTTGTGATACAGATCACTCCACTGAAAAACACGTACTCAACTTGGGAATTCTGTGTGCTCACATGGGCTAGGCATGCCGACGCCATGCTCAGCTGCAAACTGTAATGCTCACTAACTAACTGTGGTAAGCCTGGCCTTATTTGTGGGGTCCAGAAACAAGGTACAAGTGGAGAGCCATGTAACCCATGGCTGATGATGGGAAAGTTATACCATGAGCGAACAAACTGTAAAATAAAGCGGGATCCACACTCTACCTTAGCGAGTACCTCTTCCTAACAGCAGGCTGAAAAACAGATGTAAGCTGTGATCTTTTTATATAATTAAAGTATGAGAGGCAACAGAATTCCCTCTTAGTAGACATGTGTGAATATCCTGTTAATGAACTGGCAGTGCTGAATAACTAATAAATACATGCAGAATTCATAAACAACTTTTTGTTTGTTTGTTTTTGGTACTGGGGATTGAACTCACAACCTTGCGCTTGCCAAGCAGGTGCTTATGCCATTGAGCTAAACCCCCGCCCCATAATTGACTTCTTTTTGATTGAAATCACTACATATGTTGTTACCAAGATTTTTACATAATTTTTATTCTATATGTACCAATACTACCAAGGATTAAAAATAGAATGCAGTTATGTCAAGTGAACCTATATTTTCAAAAACATATTTTCATAAAACATCCAAAATGATATATAAATGACATGTGACATATACTTGTATGAAAATGTAAAATAAAATTATTCAAATAAAGTTTTATTGAACTTGTAATTAAATATTATGTTTTAATTGAAATAACACCTCCTAATTCCAGCATTCACTGTTCATCTTGTCACCAACGGAAAGACTCAATGGGATTTCCACATTCAAGCAAATTAAAGAGTGCTCTGAATTACTTAACTGGCAATATGCCCCCCAGATGCCATGTCCATATACTGAGAATAACAGGCTAGCATACGGGTGCCTTTGAAACCATGCATTGGAGCACAAGTTGCAAGGGACCTCATTTCTAGCATTCCTGGGAAAAGTGCTTCCTCATGCAAGAATCTATTGCATTCCCAGAATCTGAGAAGTTGACACCTTCCATTTGTCTGTTCTCTCTCCTCAGTGCTTCTTCCAGTTAATCCTCCCAAAACAAAGTCTAACTCTGGTGTGGGGAGCAGTATAACTCAGACTTCCCTGTCATCAGAATTACTAGAGCAGACATTTAGGGTTACGGTTTACATCATGTCCAAGCTAAGCACCAGATCCCGAGACAAAGGCACCACATGGTAATGTGGGTGTGAATGTGTGTAAAGGTGTGTGTGTGTAAGTCTAAACCCAGGGCACAGGGCAGAGGTGACTTGCTAGGCACTAGGGCTGGTACTTCCATTTCATTTGAACTGAGCCAATAAAGATCAGGTATTAGGGCTGGGAGCCAACCCTG